AACAATGGCTACATTACTGTTAAAAACAAATCAATATTTAATAAGGATTGGATGGAAAATGGGATTTTGTGTTACATTTAGTTAACAGTAATGGCTGCTTGTTATCATATGATGCTCTGTGTCAACAGCATCATCTAAAAACAAATCAAAAAACATATAAACTTATAATCAAAGCCATTCCAAAAGCTGTCTTATGTTTAATTACAGGTTCATTGACTTATTCACCTATTGTTTCATGTTTACAACAATTATTAATTGGGAATTACTCTTTCAAAGATTCCAAGTTTTCCAATAAAATAATTCGACACATTTTCGGTCATATTATTTATCCCACCCTGCCATTTAAAAACTCCATTCGTCAAAATTTTCCACCACAATCAATCCATAAATTACGCACTAAATACCTCAAATTTCCAGTTGCACCAAAGAACTCCACTTTAAAACTTTAAATGGAATATATCCATCTAATTATTTTTTCATCACAGGTTTGGTATTGAAACAAATAATTGTGTTTTTTGTGATGAAACTGAAACAACAGAACATTTATTCTTTCAGTGTATGTATGTTGAAACATTATGGTCTGATATGTTTGACTGKTTRTTTCCCAAAGTTCCCAGTCTCCAAATGTTCTCTGAAAACAATATAATTTATGGACTTATTATGGACAATAACAACAGTGACTTTTCTCATTAACACTRTTATCATTCTGGGGAAWTTTTTCATCCATAAAGCTAAATATCTTAAGGTTAAACCAAATTTCTATCATTTTCACAATGACTTTATTTTGTACTGCAATTCTCTTAAAGTGATGCACACTGAACATGCCCACAATCGGTGCTCTTTAATTGAAGAGTATGATTTAACATCTAAAGCCTTTTTTTGTTCCTTCTTATTTTTAAACTTCTTATCTTTATTTGCACCCATCCTTTTCTCTTATATGCAACTTTGTTTGTTTGTTTGAAATATGCCTTATTGTTTGTACATTGTATTATTTTGTGTGTTCTTTGTTGTTTAATAAAAAAAACTAGTATTTCCCACTTTAAAGGTAGTTTTTATGCCTCCTGCTATACTTTTGCATCTTTTAACCAGCTTTTTGCCACTTCTAGCTATTCATTTGCTCCATTTAGCCAGCCTTTTGTTGCTTTTAACTTGTCTTTTCCCACTYCTAGCTAGCCTTTTGCTGCTCGCAGAGTCTGGCCACAGTTTGTTACAGATTGGTGAACCTCTGCCCATCTTTACTTCAGCAGCCAGTAAAAAGAAAAAGAAAAAGAAAAAGAAAATTAACTATAATCCTTATAATTTTTATTATTATTTACAAATTAATTTACTTACAAAAACAGAAAAGTAAAATCAGCCACTACTCTTCAAGCTGTAATAAGGAGTTAAATTTAACTTGAGTAACAGCTGAMGTCTCCAGCTGTCTGGATGAAAACATCTTACCTCAGATTTTTTAACCTCAGATAATCCATCCTGAGACAGACGTCTGAGGGCCGCTCTGTGTCAAATTCCTCTCTGACGTTTTAAAACCAACTGATGTCCTCAGGGAAAACTCCTAACAGCTGGAACATAAAAAATACCTGAATATTCAGGAGGAATTCAAGCCTGAGGGGGAAGTTACAGAAACAACTCAAAAGATTAGGTTTCTGTATGAGAAGAGGCTGACAGGAAGTGGTTCTGTGACATGGATGTGGATCAGAATCATCACCCAGACTGAACCCACAGGGCTGAACGCTCATATCAGCCTCTGAGGATGATGTTATCTGATGAAGAGCACCAATAAACCCACCACAGGGCAGAGACTGGCACCTTCAGGGCAGCAGGAACGTGTTTCAGAGGCAACACTGCCCCCTGGTGGAGGAAACACAACACTGCAAGAAG